TTTTGCAATAATCTTTTGAGTCTTTTCTGTGTCTAGTGTTATGAAGTGTAGTATTATGTTTGGGAGGTTGGAGGGCCAGCCCCCACCGCTAGTCCCAGGTTCAGTAATGCACAATTGTATGGTTGAGATATATAAATATTATATTAAAGTCATCAAGAGCATGAGCGATAGAAGAGAAATATAGAAATAAACGGAGTCAGACACAATTTATGGTAGCATTGCTCACCTCAGCCCTGCTTGGTGGTCCACGTGGAGAGGTGGGGAAGGGAAGGGGAGGACAAAGGGAAAGGGAACAGAGGACAGAAGAGGAGCTGGGAAGAGAGGAGAGAGACCAGTGAGAGAGAGGAGAGAGCTCTCTATTACTAACCCAGGCCTATATACCTTTGGGGTGTTCAAGCCCACTAATTACAGGTAAAGATGTCACAGGAAGGGGTTGCACTATGGGTTATACAGCAATGAGAGGGGGTGGTCTAGGGACATACACGCAATAGGAAGAGGAGGGATTGGGGGTACACAGGTGACAAGATGGGCGGATCCTAGATTTAGGATGACAGTTTAACTTTGACTTGTTCTCTGGGTCTCTTTAGGAGCCATTATCAGTAGGGTGCAAACCCCACCTACAGGAACCAAATAGATGACTGCAGGCCTGTCCATTGTCCTTAACAGCAGGAAGGGGCGGGTGGGGGGGTGGCCCTGCTGTCTGGCAACTGATTGCCCTCAAGGGAGATGCCTGAGCATCTGACCTCCCCTCACAATGAAGTGCTCTTTTTCTTTTTCCTGAGCCACATTTGATGCTTATGACTTGATGCTAAATCACCAAGCTCTCCATGAAGTGGTACTGTATATTTGGTAAATAACCACAGACCAGAGCCAGACAAGGAGGGGTTGGGGGTGGTGGGGGTGGCTGGGAGCGTTGAGTCTGCCTGTGTGACAACAGATTCAGTGGCTTATGTGAGTTTTCAGTGGTCCTCATACAGAAACAGTTGTAGGTGTGAGAAATTACTGATTTTAGAGCAGTGCCTTGAATATACGTTTGAGTTATTGCCACATCTTTTATTTCTGCAGTTAAATTGTAGCTCCATAAAGATAAATATGCCATGTGTTTCTTGGGTTTCTGTCGTACTGGTCACAGTAGTCTCAAAAATACTTCTCACTTTTAAGAAAGCAGTGGTTATTTTGATTGCTTGTATATTATGTACTAGTAAAAGTTCCTTTTTTTTTTAAAGCCTGAATAATAGTTTTAGGACATCATTAGAAGCATCTTTTATTTGCTCAATTTTTTTTCCTTTTAAATATATATTTTTCAATCATATTATTGTGGACTTTTACAACTCTTGTTACAATCCATACATCAATTGTATCCAACATATTAGTACATATATTCCGTCATTCTTTTCTAGACATTTACTTTCTATTGAGC